TTGTCGCCGCATCTTTAATACGTACGCCTGAGTTCCACAATGTTTAAGCTCTTCCACCAACGGTCTAAGGAAAACATCCATATCCTTACCTGGAGCTTTCGGTCCTGGAATCAACAAAGTCAACATGAATGATGACTCTTTCATACAAAGCCAGGGTGGCAGATTGTATGTGGTGAGTATGACCGGCCATGTGCTATGTGGATTACACATGTTTCCAAATGGATTGAAACCGTCAGCTGAAAGACCTAGGCGTACGTTACGGGGTTCACTCGAGAAGTCGGGGTATTTTTTATCAAAATCATGCCAATGTTCCCCATCAACAGGATGAATCATCACACCATCTTCTGAACGTCTGGTACTATGCCAAATCATATTTTTGGCAGTGTGCCTCGAACAATATAAACGTCGTAGTCTAGGGGTCACAGGAAAGTACCGTAACACCTTATGAGGTACTTTCTTACCCTTGGTGTTTTTATCGATCCATCGGCTCTCTTTACAAACGGGACAAACTTGCAATGAATCATGTTCTTTCCAAAAGAGACAACAATCGTTTTTACACACATGTATCGACTCATACCCCAGGCCAATAGACTTTAGTTTCTTCTTGGCTAGATAATGTGAAAGGGGAACCTTGTTGCCTTTGGGAAATGCTAATTGCAAGAGCTCAAGGAGTTGATCAAATGAACTATCAGTCCATTTGTTGTTCACCTTGATATGCATTAACTTTGCTAGAAACTCAAGGGAAGAAAAGATGCAACCAGTATACAATTGAGTTTCCATTTCCTCCAACAACTGTGCAAAATCATCATCCACACCGCTACCCCTTGTATTCGAGGTTCCTTCATCGAGGTTGGTATCATTTTCTCTCGACTCCCACATCACATCGTCGATTAAATCGGCCATTTCGTTACTTGGCAAAACGACGGGAGGAATAAAAGATTCACCATGATAGATCCAAATTTTGTACGCCTTACTGAAACCATTTATAAATATATGGCGTTCAACTACAGTCGGGTACTTGAAGTAACGGTTATCACATTTTTCACACGCACATCTGATTTTACCATTACTATCAACGTGCAACTTCGACTTCTCAATAAAAGCTTTGAGTCCTGCTTGGAACTCGGGATGGTTTCGATATGGATTAGTAGTCCAGCTTTTATCAATAGACATGATGTTGCTGAAACATAATTTTGGGTTTAGAGTTTAGTATACAGAATTAGCATTGTTTTTTTTCAATCCACATTTTTTTACATCTAAAATAATACAAAAATTAAGTAATAAAGAAATGAAAAAAATAATTTAAAAATTTTTATTTATGCATTTTTTAATTAATTTTAATTAAAATTACTTGTAAGTTAGCTTGGGTAAAAACTAGAAGCTTTCTAGTTTTTGTATATAAGTTTTTAAACAATTTTATAGTTTTTTTTTGTGTTTTTTTTTTCAATTTATAAAAATAATGTATTTTTTTTTTCAATTAAAATGTATATAAGTTTTTAAAGATTTTTATAATTTTTTTTGTGTTTTTTTTTTCCAATTATAAGTTAACTATATAACTTATTGGTTAATTAATTTGGAGTTAGCTTGGGTAAAAACTAGAAGCTAAGTTTTTAAACAATTTTATATTTTTTTTGTGTTTTTTTTCAATTTATAAAAATAATGTATTTTTTTTTGCAATTAAAATGTATATAAGTTTTTAAAGATTTTTATAATTTTTTTTTGTGTTTTTTTTTTCCAATTATAAGTTAACTATATAACTTATTGGTTAATTAATTTGGAGTTAGCTTGGGTAAAAACTAGAAGCTTTCTAGTTTTTGTATATAAGTTTTTAAACAATTTTATAGTTTTTTTTTTGTTTTTTTTTTTACAATTTATAAAAATAATGTATTTTTTTTTCAATTATAGCATCCTACTTATAAGAAAACGACATACTTTTACATACGTATTATGTTGTTGTGTTGTTTTTTTTTACCGTCGAGATTAAAATATATATAAGTTTTTAAAGAATTTTATAATTATTTTTGTGTTTTTTTTCCAATTATAAGTTAACTATATAACTTATTGGTTAATTAATTTGGAGTTAGCTTGGGTAAAAACTAGAAGCTTTCTAGTTTTTGTATATAAGTTTTTAAACAATTTTATAGTTTTTTTTTTGTTTTTTTTTTTACAATTTATAAAAATAATGTATTTTTTTTTTATTTCAATTATAGCATCCTACTTATACCAAAACCACATAGTTTTACATAATACATAAGAAGGTGAAATTCACATACTTTTACATACATATACCACATATACATCAAATACAAATACACACAAAATAACATCCTATTTAAACCAAATACACATAATTTCACATATATACATAATAACATCCTATTTATACCAAATACAAAAGTTTCACAATCATATATCACATTTACAACAAACATACATACATTCACATACACACAATAACATTCTACTTATAACAAATACATATAACTTCTACTAATATACCACATATACATCAAACACACATACATTGGAATATATATACCAAATTCACATATATTCAAACAAATACAAAATATACAATCCAATTTTCACATATGACAATTATCACATAATTTCACATATAAATACAACTTGAAGCTATACAACTAATTGCAATTAAATAACCACAAACAAAAAATTGAATAACTTGCTTCTAATCCAAAACAATACCACCAAAAACAAACATTTGAACAATTTATTATCATTCAATCACTACATAAAGCTACAAATCAAAATTCATACAAAATAAAAAAGAAATCATAAAAAAAAAAACATACCTTTCTTCAACAAATGAAATTGATCCAAAGCTTTAACCACTTGCTTGGAACAATGCTTCTAACCAAAACAACACCACCAAATAGAGAACATGAGCAATTTATTATCATTCATACAACACAAAAATGAAATCATCAAAATAAAACTTACCTTTTTCAAGAAATGGAGGTAGAAATTGATCCCAAACCTTTAACCACACCTAGGGACACTTGCTTGGAACAATGAGGGGAGAAATTTGCTAGAAAGAAGGAGATTGAAGAAGAAATCGGAAAAATGGTGAAGGAGCTCAAAGCAAACAGAAAGGGAGAAAGGGAAATGAAGAAGGCTGTAATCTGCGTGCGTTTTTTTTTTTATCTGGGATCATCAATAGCGGCGACACCTTTAGCGGCGACGCAAGATCAATACCGGCGACATTTGTTAATAGCGGCGACAAACTGGAGGGAAGGGTACCGCGTCATTTTTAGCATACAATTAGCGGCGACTTTTTTAGGGTTTTAGCGGCGACATGCGTGTCGCCGGTATTAGGTTAGACCGGATAAGGCACCCCACCCGTTGGATTGGATATCTCATCGAACGGTTGAGATGCAATGTAGGGGGAAAGTGCGGATTCGGGTGACAACTCTTTAGCGGCGACACCTTTAGCGGCGACTATGGGCTTTACCGGCGACTATAGCTATAGTCGCCGGTAAAGCCCATAGTCGCCGCTAAAGGTGTCGCCGCTAAAGGATATATTTCTTGTAGTGAGTTATTAGCCTATGAATAACAACCAAATATAATCGAACATATACTAATTGTAGTGCCATAAAACAAAAAGCAGAGAGAGTTACCAGTTTGAACTCCCTCATACGATTATGATATCATGGTCATTTTTATTTTTGCAAATTGAGCAAAAGAATAGTTGCAACACAATGTGAAAAAAATATATCGATTATTAGTTTTGTTAAAGCACCAATGGCAGGAACTGTCGGTGATTTAATTACCAAATATATTTTAGTGTAATGGATTTAACAAATGTTTTAGTTATAATACAAGTTAGGAGGTGTGAGAGTCAACACTTGTATTTATTAAACATTGTTAGTACAAGGATTAATTTATTGTTCTTTAAAGATGAAAATACAAGGTTTAATTCGTATTTTCTGAAAGTTGAAAATTATTCTTGTTTTATCCGTTGAGTAGATAAGTCCGGGAAAGATAACGACTTGGTTGAAACACAGAAAACTGAAAAACGATTTCTTCTTCATTCTCTCTCAAAATTAATTCTGTGTTTTGTGCTTAAAATCAGAATCGTTTCTTTAGGAATTATCTTAGTTTGGATTTCGTGATACCCTAGGCAATTAGGGATGAAATATAAAACAAGGAAAGTGTATCACACGATTCCTGTTTATGATCCGGATTTCGTATTACCCAATTCGTAATTCCCAACAACCAACTACCAAGGTCACAAGCCTCTCAATAGGCCAACAGCCCGAGGTTATTTACTAAACATATACAATAAGACTAACACCAAGATTTTACTACACAATTTTCATAAAAATGTGAGATTTATATAGCATCAGTAATGTTACAAGCATTGAATAAACAGTTAAACAGACATCAACTTATATGTGATGCATCTATGTTTTAGAAAACTTCAACTAATTTACAGATATTGGCCTTGAAATCGTTATGTCAATAGCTACTACAATCAGAACCACCGACCAAAACTAGTGTTTCAATGTAGGAATTCACTGTGAATCTATACCCACTAATGAGATGATTGCTTAGTTCTGAGTTAGGCTCATAAACAACAAGCTCTTCAGTTGATTCAAAGGTATAATCTTGGACTTCCATAATAGGTCCGCCCTTCCTCCTAAAACCCACTGCCCTCATCAAGTCACCTGGTGCCTTGATATTGAATAGCTTAGTAAACGATCTTTCTACACCACGCTCCACCATCCATACAGTACAACAAACTTGCTCCTCAATGGTATCATTGTATCCGCTTTTATTGTATTCAAGTATAACAAGAGACTCCCTTAGCTTAGATACAGAAAGTAGGGAGAAAGTGATGATAGCCAACCTTTCAGGGAGGACTACTACTTCAAACTTCTCATTAGTTATATCAAATGACATAATCAGATTACGAGTTTTAAACACACTATCCACAGTTGTACAATCTACAGCACACCAGTAGATAGACTTACCAATAACTACCTGGGGCCCCATAATATGTATTGATATGCTGGGGAGATTGCCAGATAGACTTGTAAATTTCCCCGAACTTTGCTTATAAACCTTAACTTCCCAAAAGTTGCCAATTTCGCTTTTCCGTTCACTCCCCAACGCAATTGAGTGATCTGGATGATCTTGGTATCAATGGTGACAGGACAAACTCCAAAACCAAGAACGATTAAATGATTCGTATATAACATATCAGGCAGTGCGATAGCTATTGATTTTCTAATGGAAGGATTCAAAACAACAGCAATCATCCTTCTATAGATGGAAGGTGAATCACCTTGGAAACACAACAAGCCATAAGAACTACCGACTATTCGTGGATCTCTAATGGACAGGGGAAGAGATGGAACAAACCTATGCTGGGGGAAAGAGTCATCATCGACAAAAGAAACATATTTAGGCACTTGTTCATCTGTGTACGATACAAACAGATGTTGTGGCTGTGTGTGGCTGACGCTGTGGGCAGCAATAAACTCTGAGCTGTCGATCAAAGACTTCCATGCTTTCGAAACGGATCTGAACTGAATCAATGATTTGATAGGAAGCGTTTTCAGGATTTCCTCTTGGATATGGAAAGGCAGTTCGTCAAACATTTTAATTGTGGGTGTCGTTGGTACCTGATTTTTAACGGTTTATATAACCGGAGATTTAAACTCTACCATACTAAAAGCACATGTACCCGAATAATTGAAATTAGTTGACCGTGAGTTAAGATATATTTAAAAACAGTTGGTACCTAAATAATAATACTTTTTGAAAATATTATTTGTTCCAATAGCTGCAGCTAGGTAATATTCTTGGTGGCATGAGATGCATGAATTGGCTCAATAATGCAAATTCAATCAATAACATACAACTAAATTATTATTATTATTATTATTATTATTATTATTATTACTAGAAACGACCGATAACGTTAAAAAAAAGAGCCACTTCTAACAGGCAAAAAAGAATGTACAACAGAGGGAATTACAAGAAAATGGGGGAGATACACCAATCAACCTAATTACAACTTCTTAAATTTTCTCTTTATTTCAGCCAATGATACACTGTAGAAAACATGTTTTCAGTCACCAAAGAAGCACGGTGCAACTTTTGTTTAAGACTCTATTGTTCGTGGTTTTCTAGGCACCAAAGCAAACTATAGCAAAACTGTTGGAAGAAATTAGGGATAAATAAGAAGAAGATGATTTATCATACGTTAAATATTAACTGCTTTATTAATTCACAGAGTTTACATATTTATACATTCCTAACCATCACGTCCATTCATTAGGACGGTTACATAACTGATAACGGCTTTTACCATACACACCAAGTAACTAATATTTACAAAGTATCTAGCTTAATTCTAACATTCCCCTCTTAAGCTAGATTTCAGATACTCCAAGATTCTTCTTCAAACGATTGAAGTTACCCACTTGCAAAGCCTTGGTAAATACATCTGCCAACTGATCCTTTGTTCCACAAAAACAAACTTCCACATCTTTGTTTGCAACAAGTTCACGAATGAAGTGATATTTGATTCGAATATGCTTACTTTTACCATGGAATACAGGGTTTTTTGACAGAGCTATGGCAGATTTGTTATCACAGAAAAGCTTTGTTGCATTGATTTGGTATTTTCCCATTGTGACCAAAATACCCCTAAGCCATAAAGCTTGACAGCCAGCCATTGAGAGTGAAATGTACTCCGCCTCAGCAGAAGATAGGGCGACTACATTTTGTTTTTTCGTTTGCCATGATATGGCTCCAGAGCCAAGGTTAAAAACATAGCATGTGGTGCTTTTACTATCATCTATACACCCACCATAATCACTGTCGCTAAAACCTCTCAAACTTGCATCCTTAGTTCTAGTATAGATAAGCCCGTGATTGAGAGTACCATTAATGTAACGCAGTATATGCTTACCAGCTTCCCAATGACTTTTCTTGGGATTCTCCATGAAGCGACTAATAACACTTACAGAAAACATGATGTCGGGTCTTGTTGCAGTTAAATACATAAGGCTGCCTACCATACTCCTATATAGACTAGGATTCACATCATCTTCGGAAGTGTTTTTTGAGAATTTTGATCCAAACTCCATTGGTGTAGAGACAGGTGAAGAACCCACCAAGTTGAAGCGTTTAAGAAGTTCCTTGGCATACCTGTGTTGGGAGATTGAGATCCTTTTTTGTTCTTGCTTTACCTCTATTCCCAAGAAATAATGCAATAGTCCCATGTCAGTCATTTCAAATTCTGTTTTCATAGATTCCTTAAATTCATGAACCATTTGCTCTGAGTTTCCTGTAAAAACCAAATCATCAACATACAAACAAATAATTAAGATTTTTTTTATTAGCCTCTTTGACAAAGAGGGTATGCTTGAAGGGGCATTTCTTGAAGCCATTTTCAAGGAAGTATTTTTCAATTCGACTGTACCAGGCACGGGGTGCCTGCCTTAAACCATACAAGGCCTTTTTCAAGTGACAAACTTTATACTCTTCCCCCTTCTTCACATATCCAGTTGGTTGATTGTAACGACCCAATTTTTACGTCCGAAAATTTCATTTTTAAGATATTACTTTAGAAAACATTAATAAATAAAAACATTGTTTGTTCACACCATAACACATTGCAACCATGTTCTAAAAAGCCAAACCGTACATCCCATCAAAATATCAGAGTACAATCCCTGTAAATCTCATAAATGCGGAAACCGAAGAGTGTGTGTATGACGTGACGCTACCGCGCCGGCTCCTTCCCCTTTGATGCAGAGGTACCTGAAAACAAAACTGTAAACGTAAGCACAAAGCTTAGTGAGTTCCCCCAACGTACCGCATACCATACAAACACATACATACATACTGTCAGGCTATTCTGGGGTGCCTGACTACCCGGTACGGCCATTCTGGGGTGCCGACCTACCCATGTCAAGCCATTCTGGGGTGCTGACCTACCCATCGGTCCTAAGAACCGATCTTCGGGGACTATTTCACCCCCCCTACTACTACGATCACATATAACATAACAAGCCAGCATGCAAAACATATCATCACATACTGTCAGACGTATCTGGGGTGTCTGACTACCCTTTGGTCCTAACAACCAAACTCTACTACTATCACATACAACATATCATGCTAGCATATAACATATCAGGTAGCAGCAAACTTAGATGATGTCACAAAGACAATCATCTATCATACATCTCCTACTGGTGGGTCGGCATTGTGGCCTTAGACCCACTGCTACTGGAAGGTAACTCACCTCAAAGTAGCTGCTGAACTGATCGGGAACTAACTGGCTGCTGCTGCTCCGGGAGTCCTCCGGCTGCAATTTCCACGACATACTCAATCAAACACTGCTAACTGTCCTTTAGGTAAAATGACCATTTTACCCCTGGATTAGCTCTAAGCCAAAGCTGGAGTCAACTTTCAGTTGACCCGACTCGCCGAGTGGATCACCACTCGCCGAGTCCCTAGCAAACCAATGTCCTGGGTCCCTGGTTCTACTCGTCGAGTCGGGCTATGACTCGACGAGTTCACCTTCTAACTGTCATTCAACACCTTCATCCTACTCGCCGAGTTGTATGAACAACTCGTCGAGTTCATCTTCATCCGATGAACACTTTATGCTAAGACTCGCCGAGTTGTATGAACAACTCGCCGAGTCTGTTCTTGATCTATGAAGATTGCCTTGGACTCGCCGAGTCAGGGCATTGACTCGCCGAGTCCTAACATGGGTGAGTTCAGCTCCCAACTCACCGAGTCACCCCCTGTGACTCATGGCTCAACTCGACACATGAAGAAGGGACCAAATCGGTGACTCGCGACCAGACTCGCCGAGTCACCTATGCGACTCGCCGAGTCGTCGCCATGCACTCCTTAAATATACCGATTTGCTCGATTCCAGTCCATGCCATTCATAGATCTGGACTTCTAGGACACGAATCACACGTAAAGTTTCCAACTTTACGTGTGGATATTCACCAATATGGATTATAGGGCTCAAAATGTCTCAAAAGGGTAGATCTAGGGCTAACAAGCCTCATGGGGCCAAAAAGCTAACAGATCTGAGCTCCTGGAGCTCAATCTTGCATAGATCCAAAGGCCAAACGCCTTATTACGACATATAATGCACATACAAACTTGGGGAATTGACCAAGAAGGACCCAAATGAAGTTTTAAGCATAGAATCAAGGGGAAAACGGGTTATACCTCAAAGGAAATGTTGAAATGACACAAAGATGGCTGATCTCCTTCTCCTCTTCTTGATCTACTCCTCTTACTCTTCAAAACCTTCAAGAACACACCAAGAACACCTCAAACTCTCAAGGAAACAAGGGAAAACGATGTAGGGGGAGTTCTGGGGGTGAATGGGGACGAGTTGGGGCGGAATGAGAGTTTAAATAGGGTGCAAACCCTTGAAACTTAGGGTTTCATCCGCAGCGGTGACTCGCCGAGTCCAGGATGTGGACTCGCCGAGTCGCCTACTTAAAACGTGTCCTGAGTCTCGTCCCTACTCGGCGAGTCGGACCCTATGACTCGCCGAGTCCAAGGCTAAATTAGGGCAATGCTCAAATAAAATTCACATACCGGAAACCAGGTGCTACAAATCTCCCCCACTTATTTTAGACTTCGTCCTCGAAGTCTGCTGCCTGGTCCTGAAACAGCTCGGGGTAGTGCTCCATCATCTCGTCTACCGGCTCCCAAGTCCACTCTGAACCCTTGCGGTGCTGCCATTGCACCTTCACTAGCTCCACCCTCTTGTTCCTTAAATCCTTCGACTTCCTGTCGAGGATTGCGACTGGGCGCTCAATGTAGTTCAGGCTGTCATCAACCTGAATATCCTCCAAAGGTACTACTGCAGAATCGTCCACTAGGCACTTCCGCAACTGCGAAACATGGAAAGTGCTGTGGATCTGGCTAAGCTCGGCTGGCAGATCCAGCCTATATGCTACCTTGCCCACCCGGGCTAAGACCCTGAACGGTCCGATGAATCGCGGGCCCAACTTGCCCCGCTTCCTGAATCGGATGACGCCTTTCCACGGCGACACCTTCAGGAGGACCATATCCCCGACCTGGAACTCTAAATCGGATCGACGCTTGTCGGCATAACTTTTCTGCCGACTCTGAGCAGTCTGAAGCCTGCTCCGGACCTGCTGGATCCTCTCAGTCGTCTTGAGCACCACTTCGGTGCTTCCCATAACTCTCTGGCCAACCTCACCCCAGCATATCGGGGTCCTACACCTCCGTCCGTACAACATCTCGAAGGGAGGGCGGTCGATACTCGCGTGATAGCTGTTGTTGTAGGAGAACTCAGCCAAAGGAAGATAGGTATCCCAGCTACCACCGAAATCCAGAACACACGCCCGCAACATGTCCTCCAAAGTCTGGATGGTCCGCTCACTCTGTCCATCTGTCTGCGGGTGAAAGGCGGTGCTGAAATGCAGACGAGTGCCCAACTCGTCATGGAATCTCTTCCAAAACCTGGAAGTAAAACGCACATCCCTGTCCGAGATCACCGATACCGGCACCCCATGCCGTGCCACAATCTCCCTGATATAGATGTCGGCCAATTTCTCGGCCGATATGCTCTCCGGAATCG